AAGAGATGGTAGTGTTCCAGTGAAAAAGGTAGGGAGGTAGAAACTGGATAGATAGTCAGGGAGGGCTTCCTGGAAGAAAGGCCTTCCTGAAACCATCTTCCTGATGGATTTCCTACCCATTCACGGGTTAGGAGACCATCAGAAAGAGCCACGAGGACCACTCCAATTGTCAGGAGAAAGAAACTGAGACGCAGGCAGGCCGACCTGGCCTGTTTCGGCATGCCTGGCTTTCTGACCATCTACGGCACTGAATACAGGAGCGACAGTGATTCATGTGCGTGAAGGGCTCGACTTGTCAGCCAAAGTCACCACACGGTGACAGGAATCAGAGGCAAGAGCCTCGGAGGTGAGAGACTGAGACTCAGGCTGGGCTTGAGCTGGGCTAGGGAGGTTAGGAAGGCCGCTGCAGGGCAGAGAAAAGGGACAGACAAAATTCTATCAGGCAGTTTGGGGGTACCGATGGCGCATGCTCCCAGGGGTAAGGAAGGACAGCCTGTGACCAGCTGGGAAAAGGAGGCAGGGGTGCCACTCAGGCTGGGAGGGGTCTGGGATGCAGGGTTGGGGTAGGACCCAGGGAGGCTTGAAAGCTGGAGATGGGGAGGGCTCGGTTGGGAGAGCCACAGCTAGGGCTGGACAAAGCCACAGACGGGTCCCTGGGAGACACTGACCAAGCCCTTCTACCTGTGGGCGACGCTGATGTTCAGTTGCTGAGTCGTGTCCAACTCTGCAACCTGCAGGACATCAGGCTCCTCTGTCCTTCACTATCTCCTGGAGATGGCTCAAATTCATGTCCATTGAGTCGGTGATGCCATCCAACCACTTCATCCTCTTCCGCCCTCTTCTCCCTTGGCTTTCAATCTTGCCCAGCATCAGGGTCTTCTGCAATGAGTCAGCCCTTCGCATCCCATCAAAGCATCAGAGCTGTGCCACCTGCTAAGTGCAGGGGCTAAACCACCCGCCACCTGCGGGCACTGCGCTGGTGCGTCCCACGTGCTTTCAGCCCGTCCCACCCCCGATGTGTCCTGCAGCATGGACCGGTTCTGGAACACTGATCCCTAGGTTACAGTCGACCTCGAACAGGACCAGCCTGCACCCCTGGGACCCAGGTAGCTGAGCAAATGGGAAGCCCTGCCTAGAGCCCCAGGTAACTCTGGGGACAGGGGGCAGGCAAAGTTCCAACTGGGGAAGGAGACAGAGGCCCACCAGTTAAAGGGTTGGCATCTCAGGGGTTGAGAGCTAAGGCCGGCCTCCCAGCCTCCTCCCCAGCCTCCTTGAGGCTCATCTCCTCTCTGTGACTTGGCAGTCACTGCGTCCCACTAATTCCATCACCCAAGAACCTCTGCATCTGTCGCCCTTCTGCGTTCACTGCCCTGCCCTAGCCTGCCTTCATCATGTCCAGCCTGGAGCTATGTAGCCTCAGCTTTGATCACAGAATAAGGAGAACACTGGACAATGCCTGAGTGGCCCCCTTGGACAGCTCTCTAGCGCCTCGGTCTCTCCCTTTGCTCCCACCCCCATCTAGAGTCCAGCCACAGATGACCTGAGCACTCGGCAACCCCTCCCCATGCAGCTTCCACATCCTCCCCCAGCACGCCCCGGCCTCCCCACCCTGCACCACGACCCGGCTGCAGGGTCTCTTCTCAGTACCAGGCCTCCTCCATCAGGACCATATCCCATGGCGGGAGCAAGGCCAGCCTGTGGGTTGTCATGGCAACCCCCTTCCACAGCACTTAGCAAATCCCAAGATCACTGCCTTTTGTACCTGGGGGCTTTCCCCCCAGAGGTGAGGAGGTCCACGGGACCAGGGGCTGTGCCCAGCACAGAGTCCTCAAGAAAGGTTTGCTGAGAGATGGAGGAAGATATTTCTTGCGCCACTGCTACAGCCAAGCCCAGGGGGCCCGGGAGGCTCCCAGACAAGGCGAGAAAGAAGCCACGTATTTGTGAGCTTTGGGAACGCAAGCCATAGGTGATAAGTGAGTCAAAACAGACTGGGGTTGCCAGCAGGACCTTTATAATGCTACTTCCTGGAATTTCTTGGGTCCCAGTTGGTCGTGAAAATCCCCCATCTCCACACGGGAGCCTAGTGAACACTCACATACGAGTGCACACACACACGTGTGCTCACACACGTGTCGCTGCCCCTGTCCCTTTGAGACTGCCCGGGATTCACTGACCAACAGGAAGCAGAGCTGGCCCGTCGGCCCTCGCTGTAACTGCCCTTGACGTCCGGCGCACGCTTTGCCCCAGCCCTTGCTCAAGGGGGCGTCTGTCAGCTGCTGAGGGCCCCACCTGAACCCCTCAGGTCTGTGCCAGGAGGGCCCTGATCAGAGGCAGCAAACCCAGCTCAGAAAGCAATCCAAGTCTCCCTTCTAACAGACGCCTTGACGCTGTAGCGGGAGCTCGTTCACGCATATGATTTATTAACTAATTTAGCATGTAAGAAAAGCATCTGCATCTCGCTTTTATCATCTTGCCAGCAGACAGGCTGAAGACGAGATGCGGCCTGTAGACGTGCTTAATGGGGCCTTAAGCACTCCTGCGCTTGTCCAGAGCTCACACGAGGCTCTGGTTTCAGAACTTGTCTGAGTGGGCCGGCCTAACACAAACAAACACTAGGGTAAACCTCTCATCAGCCATAAATACCACGGGGATCAGAAGAGCGGCTGTAAAATCATGTCCCGGAGCCCTCCCAGAGCACTCTAGTCATCAGGACTGTCTCGGAACTGGGGAAATAAAAAGGTGCCTCGGTTATTTAAAACTATTGGCTGCGTCTCATCATCTTTTATTATTATACACAATTTTAAGATTTTTCAGTCCAAGGAATGTGAACATGTGAGGGTGATATCTGTTTGGGGGCAAAACATCACCGCTGGAGGAGAGTAGATAAGACTGGCTCCCTCACCAAAGCTGTGCTTCCTCCCCTGTTCCTCTGACTTGATTTAGAAATCGGATCCATGCAGGTGTGTGCAAGTTAAAATGAGGTCAGGCTGGGTGGATGGAGGTGGGCCCTGATCCGACGACCGGGGTCCTTGTGAGAGATGGAATTTGGTCACAGACACAAGGTGGGTGGAGGCAGGGAACAGAATGATACAACTGTAAACCAAGAAAGGCCAGAAGTTGCCAGAAGCTCCCAGAGCCGGAAGAGAGGCAGGGCACGGATCCTCTCTGCGCCTCCAGGAGAAATCACGCCAGGGGACACCTGGATTTTGGACTTCTGGCCTTGAGACTGTGAGAGGATCAATTTCTGTTCCTTGAGCCACTCAGCCTCAGGCCATTTCTTACAGCAGCCCTAGGAAATGAATACCCAGGACAAGGAAGCCTCCCTCTGACACTTGAGATGGCGATATTCCAGGCCACTGGGGCCCTGGTATGGCACGGCTGGAGGGCGGCTGGCCCAGGGGACAAGGATGGATGGTCTCATGCCTAACGAGTTCCCAAACGTTCATGAGTCTCCATTTTTTCTTACACAAGGTGATGGGAGCGGACGGAAAAGGGAGCCTGTTAGACATCATTTTTGTGTATACATATGTGGAGCTCTAAAGTGACACTTTCAAACTTGTTGAGAACACATTCACTTATCTAACCACCTTCATTGAGCAGGATCTTCAAAACTGTTGAGGCCAAGTGGCCCTCACGCCACAGGCACCATGGCATCCTGGCAGCCCTCGCCAGGGCAAGCCTGGACCCGGAAGGCCCCGGGGGGACCCCCAGCTGTGGCTGACGCTTGGTCCCTCTCGCCAACTTGATACATCTGCACCCCAACCCAGATGGCTCTCTGTTGAGCCAGAAACTAAGGAGCCTGCAGAGAATACATTCACAGAGCCAATATCTGCCAATCAGCTTCAAACGCCAACTTGAGATACATTTTCAGGCAGGGAAAGTCTTTGCACGTACATTTTGCTGATTTCCTTTCCTTAGCATCATGGGAGGGGTCACCAGGGCCAAGCAGCAGGTGTCCCGCCAGATCCTTCACCATGGAAGGATGTGTTCAAGTTCACCTTTGCTGAGGTCTTGGATGACTCCCCGAGAAGAGCTCTGGGCGGCGGGGGGCGGCGGAGGGGGACGCAGCCTGCCTGTGGTTAAGAGGAATCCTATTCCAATGCCTGCTGTCCCTCAGCCGCTCTGTAAGATCCTGGTAATATTTGCTAAGCTGCATTTTATTGACTATGGTTATTTCCCCAGAGGACTTTTATTCAGAATCAGACCAATGATTTCACCTCCTGGGGCCCAGAACATTTTGCTAGGAAGATCTTGTTCCTCTATCCAAAGAAATAAAACAGAGGTTTCCCCAGGCCTCCAGATTTTAAGATTTGGGTTGGCAGGCCATCAGAATATGTTCCCATGTCCCCATCCTTGCCCTTGTCTCTTCTTGTTATTCTTTCTGGTTTAATAGTCTGTTTATAAGCTCCACGAACAAAAGGACGGAGGCCAGCCTTGCTCACCGAGCTCTCCCCAGCTCTCTGCGTGGGGTCTGGCCAGAGAAGGTTCCCAATAACACCTTCTCCAGGGAATCCGGGAGCACCGCCCTCACGGGGTCCACTTGACAGCCGCCTCCCAGGGCTCCCAAAGCTGCCCAGCCCGATGCAGGGCTCGCAGCGGGAAAGGGGTTCTGAGGTGACAGGTGTCGATGCAGACAAGCTGGGGTCAACCTCTCGCCCTGAGACGGGTTTTGCAACCTATCAAGGGCAAAGCGGGGCTCTTGGAGTATCTGTTATAGAGCCAAGAATCTGAACCGGCTACCCTGGCTGCCATAGTGCTTCTTTCCCAGCTGAAATGGGGAATGTGTGTCTCCAGCTATTTCTGCTGAATTCAGGGCCCGCGGGTCGCCTCTCAAGACGGGCGGGCTCCCAGGGCGGGCTGTGTGACCCCAAGGTTTGGGCACTTGGGTGGATACCAGTCCTGCATGTGTCAGGGGCACCACTGGGAACATTGATTTGAACTAGGGTCCCAGCCCTGGGGGCCGGCGTCTCGCTGGCCCTCCCGAGCCAGCTGCAGCTTACCGCTGAGAGGATGGGGGACGGTGAACTGCTTCTTGTTGGCGCGGACAGGAAGGAGACTCTGCTTCGGAGCCAGGCTCTCCTTCCGCTGGGCTTTTCTCTGCTGGACCATATGCTCAAGCTTCTTCAGACGTTCTTGCGAGCGAGAAATGAACTGAGGCTTGCGGACTTCCAGGGCCTCCTAGAGGAGCCAAGAAAACATTTTACGAAATTATGCCTGCTTATATATTCATGTATTTATTTTTTATTTCTTGGCCACACTGCAAGGTAGGCAGAATCTTTGTCCCCCAGCCAGGGATCGAACCCACACCTCCTGTATCAGAACCACAGAGTCCTAACCACTGGGGAACTCCCAAAACCTTTTAAGAGAAGTGTCATGAAAAAGCAATGCTTCCGTCTGATTTGGTCAAGAGGCTGATCAAAAGTACAGTGCAATAGCACGCCCTAATTTTCTTCCAACCCCTCACGGACAGATGGCCACAGACCTGTTGATGACACAGGTCTCAGTTAGCACTGAGGGCCCCACTGTAGCATGACTGAGTTACCAGCACCAAAGGCACACCTCTGCCTATTTCTCCTTCCACCTGGCAATTCATTCATCTCCAACAGATCAAAATCTGAACGCCCCGAAATGCTATATTCCAAGGTGACATAGTGGGAAAGGAATGCAAGCCTTAGGAGTCACCTGCTTCTGCCGGGGGCTGGATGCCTTCTGGAAGCTCAGAACGAGATCATTCTCCCAGCATGACTCGTGTATCTTTTCAGGAGAAGCAGTAATCGTAGCGAACGGAAACAGCTTCTCCCCCCAGGAAGACAGAGCTGGCAGGAGAGCTTTTTCTTTGCAAAACGGTTCTGCAGACTCCATAGAGGAGGTCAGAATCCCTGTGCTTTCTATTCAGCCTCATCTCTCTCTGCGTCCCTGACTTCATGCAAGAACAAAGCTCCCCACACAGGTTTACTGAAGAAGAGTAACCACCACTGATATGTCCTGCTCTGTGATAGACACTGACCTCAATGCTTTGTGGGCATCTGTCATCTAAGAATCCCTGCACGATTCTGGAAGGCAGACTTATTTCTCCCCCAGAGCCACGAGCCCCTGGATGGCACAGGCTGTGTCTCCCCCACTTTGAACCCTGCACAGCCAGCGCCCCAGCTCTGCACGTGGAGGGGGCTCAGCACCGCCCAGAGCTGCGGCCGCAGCAGAAATACCCTCAGCCCCATTCCTTTCCCAGCCCTCGAGGGGCTCACAGTTTCCAGGCAGAGGGCGGCGTGGGCTCTGTCTGAGTCGTGGATGTGCCCCTAGCTATTGTGCCAGGAAAGGAGTCTCCTGGTCGCCTGGCCTCCAAGGTGCCAGCCCAGGTCCCGGGGCCTGGGGAGACGGCCCCTGGAACCGCCTGTGGGGCCCCGTGTGGCTGCTGTCCCAGCTGTCTGCCCCAAGGCTGGAGGCCCGGGCGGCTCCAGGGCCACCGGCGTCTCTTCTGATGGATCCACCCGGGGGGATGGGGGCGGAGCCCATGACCCATCTGCAGGGCGGTTTACAACACCCGGGTCTCCCAGGAGTCGTGGCTAGCCTTCTCTGGGTTGTTTGTCTTCCTAATCTTTATATCTGTGTATTTTTTGAACTTAAAAAAAAAATGTGTTCACGTTACTTCTACAATTGGGAAAAGACACAAAATGAAAGCTGCCATATCCTCGAACTCAAGCCCCTGTGACCTTGGGACTACCTTCATCTTTCAAAGGCTTAACATGCTTGTCTGAAGACGGGCTGTAGGGACGGACTCCCGCCTCATTGGGGTGAACCTCTCCTTGTCTAGGCCCCAGAAAGTTCTCGACAAATGCCGGCTCTCCTCGCTCCAATCACGGTCACCATTGATGGCATGCGATCCCCAACCTAGCCTGGGTAGATAGCACCATCTCCTTCCTCACACGGGGGTATAGAGTCCCAGGGAGGTTAGGGGACCTGCCCAGAGTCACACAGCCACCAGGAAGTGGAGTCAGCTCTCCAGCAGCAGAAGTGAGGACGTGTGTCCACAGGCTCCCCAGGAAGTCTCCCCTCGGCGGGAATCGAGTCGGAATGCACGGTGGCAGTCAAGCTGGACCGTGCCTTACCTGCAAGGTCAGGGAGCTTTCGGGCCCTTGCTGGCTCTCGGAACAGTCTTCTGGCAGGACGTGGGTCGCTGGGTCCTTGGGGGGCGCTGGTTCGGGCGGTGCTGGCTCGGACTCGGGGTTGGTAGGGTGCTCACTCTCCTTGCATTCCTTTATTTTAACAACCAAGTCACAGCACGTGTAATCCCCTGGGAGAGAAGATTTAGAATTCCATTTAGAGGGCACCGAGGCTTTTCTCCTGGCTTATCAACACCATTAGACACAGAAGACAATTTGGAAAATGGAAATGCCAGTGGGTTATTAATGGGCCTCGTTAAGCCGACGAGATCACGCCCATCACAGCCCCCGGCGTGCCCTGGTCGCAGGGAGGCATGTCTGTGGACAGCCAGACTCGAGACTGGCTATGCCACGCAGGTATGCCCTTGGCAAAAATGCTTTTGCAGCCAAGGCAAAGAAACTTCCTCTATCTTGCACTTCATATTTCGTGTGTCCTGTGCAATTAATACAGTTGGGTTGTTTGGGGACCGTGAATTGATTTATCTTGTGTTTGCTACACTAATGATGTAAGACAGAGGAACGGTGTTCAATGATTTATCCCGCCCCTTAATTACTGGGGAGTAGCACTGGCTTGGCACTCGTAATTGGGACTGTGTCTCAGCACTGGGTTTAGCCCCATCCTGCCGCCGTTCTCACACCCTTTGGTGGAAAAGGTCAGGGCTGGAGCCGACGTCACAGCACTTGGGGCAGAGTCATCTTTGGGGTGCTGAGAGGGGGGGATTCGTATGGACTCACTGACCACATACTGACCAACTGCTCCGCAGGGAACACAGTGGCTGTCTCAGCTCACTCGTCCCGTCTGAACTCCCTCCTACCCCATCACACGCCCCCCTAACCACAGCCTCACCAGCCCTCTGTGGTCTGAAACCCAACCGTGTTCTCCTTTCTCCTTGCCCACACGCCCTCCCATCTCCACGAAACCCCTTTGATCCCACCACCCGGTGACCTCCTACCTTCAGGCTGAGCCCAGAGTTTTCAGGAAGCCCGCCGCCCCTTCCCAGGCACACTGCATCCTGCCCGCTGTGTGTGCCTGCTGTGTGTACCACACAGTGAACACACCGCACACATTAGCAGCATCAGTGGGGCCATCGCAGGATGCTCCAGCCCCACAAGGCTGGGACCTTCCGGAGGGCCGGACCACATCATGTTCACCCTGAGTCTCTCCAAACTGCCAGCCTGGGTGCCCTGGAGCAGCTGGTTCTGCTGGGTGGGGAGAGATGGTCATTACGAGGCTCATGTGACCACAGGATGCAACTCCATGGTCCCATGGGTCCCTTAACTGACCCCACAGTATAACCTCTGCCATCACACCAAGATCCTCTCTGGTCTGGACCAGCTGTCCTACATTCTCCCAAGGTCCACTAATGCCCCTGCTACCGACAAGCTCTACAAGCACACCAGACGTCTCACAGCTCATTCACGATGCATGTTGCCCGCCAAGTACCAATTTCAGTTCTTTGCCAACAACATGCTACTTAGAAGTTCACAAATCATTCTTGTTTTTCCAAACATTTGCTCCTGGTCTTTCTAGATCTTTCCCTATTGCTCCCCATTCCTGCTTCAGGACTGATTCCTAGCTGAGATATTTGTCCCCAGCCCTCCAGCCAGAGTTAATTCCACTTTCCACCACACTGCTTCCATGCCGTGTGAAACTTTATCCTAGCTCACCCCACACTCAGGGAAGCCAGAGGTCCTCCCATGCTCCCCCACCGCCAGATCCAGAGACCCCAAGAGCAGCGCCAACATGCCCGTCATCCTCAGCGCTCACAGCACAGCTCCATCCATTATCTCCCTAGTCTCCGCTTGGGCGGCCAGGCCTCCACGGTGACGTGCTCTGTACTCAGGTCTGGCCGGCCTCAGCACCGTCTCCCCGCCCCCCACTTGGACCTCTCCCATTCGTCCTCCACACAGTCCAGGAGACACCCGCCTTCAGGGAACATCTAGTCAGGTCTCCTCCAAGGACTTGGCCCAGCCTCCCGTCCAGATCCCTTCGTGGGTTTATACGGACCTTAGGTTCCTGCGGGCCTCCCCTGCACCCCACACTGTGGTCCCGCGGATCCCACATCAGCCCTGCTCTTTCCATCCACTCTTTGCTTTCTGGGTGTCTTTCCCTCTGCCCTTGGGGTCTGATTTTCCTTTCTCCAAAGCACTTCCTTGAGGAAGATGTCTCTGTCCAGCCTCACCTTGTATCGCCTGGGGCGTCCTCAGCTTCCTGGCAGGTCACCCCAGGCACGGTTATGACCGCAGTGACTCTGGCATGGGACTGCAAGCACCTGGAGGGCAGGAAGCCCTGAGCACCGTGCCTGACACAGAGTAGGTGTTTAATAAGTGCTTCTCTGATGGCATATAGTGGGCATTCAATACATGCTTCTTTCATTTATTAAGGAATAACAAGCTAGAGATTCACTTCTGTTCCCACAAAAATTATTTTCATCAATTACCGTAAATACTTTTTAACTTTTCCAATCCAAAGCTCTAGAATCTAATAGTTTTCTTTCTGTCCTTAGCTATAGCTCTCTGGGGACATTTTTATAGAGTGATTGGAAATCTAAATTTTCCTCTGATATAACTGAGCACCAGATATCTTTTTCACTGTTTTATTCCTAAATGTTTTTTAATATATCGATAGTTTCTGCAGTATTAGTTGAGGTCAGCCCCTTGGCCTTCAGAGAAAGGACGGTCCAGTTTGACGGTCCAGCCTCTCTCGAGGCTGAGATGGGGGCCTATCTCAAAGGCACTGTGAGGTCAGGGCCCTCGGGCCTGTGAGTGCCTGGTGCATATAGTACAAGCACCCCTCAGCCATTAGCCCAGCTGGTCAGCTACCGAGGACCATGGGCAGCCTGGTGGGCCCGCTGCCTTCGGGGCAGCCACACCAGCATCTCAGCGCTTCCCTGACTCCACCCGAGAGCCTGCTGGGTGCCTGGAGGCGGCCTTCACCCAGCCCCAGGCGATGCAGGCCTTGTGCACTGCAGGGCTGGGAGTTCTGACCTGGGCAGCGCTGCCTTCTCCCTGTCTGCGAGGCAGACCCGCCCACCATTTAGACCTGCTGGCCTTGCTTCCCTCAAGGCAGCATCACAAGGGAAGCTGGGGGAACCAGGGCCCAGAAGACCCTGTACTCTTTTCCCCCTGAAGATCGAGGAAGAACCGCCTCATCCCTGCCTCCCTCGCTCCTTACCTTCCGGGGCCTGTCTTTCTATCTGAGCACCATGTTCCTCCTGCGGAGATGCGCACAGATCTTGGAAGGGGCAAAGGAACCCTGGCAAAGGGGCCAGGAGCTCCTCCACATTCACTGCTGTCATGTATAAAGCTCTCAAGCAACCGCACTCCCTGGTACACTCAGGAGCTCGGAAGCCCCTCTGGACGGTAGATAATTGAGCAGGCCGTTTAGCCCACTGACTCTGGGCCAGATACTTGGGTTCAGTGCCTACCACCACCACTTGTATGCTATCTGGCCTCATCTATAAAATTGAGGTTGACACTATAACAAGGTAAGAATATTAAATATTACATGCTTAATTTTATTATCATATTCATTTTTATAAAAAAAAGAAATTACCTACTTAAATAAGCAATATATTTATATCATAATTGATATAATAAATAACATACATATTTATATAAATACTAAATGTTAAAATCTAGGCAATACTATAATAAAATAATGATCCAGGTAAGGTGTTTTGTGCAGTAGCTGATACTACTTAGCATGTAATAAATGTTTGCTATCATTGTTATTCCAGAAACACTGATGCTCCGTGTGTCCTGCCGCGAGTGTGGAGGCAGGAGGTAACTCATCAGGTGCCTGTGCTCACGTCTAATGCAGCAGTGGGTCTAAAACATGTACAGTGTGTGGCTTGTTGCCGCAATGTCATATCAAAGGCCTGCAAACCACCTTATACTTCTCAGTAGGGGCCTGTTAAGTAAGTTACAGCACTTCGTACTTTGCAGCCGTGAAAAAGAATGAGGCGCATGCTCTTGTGTAGTCAGGGAATCGTCTTTAAATCCATTATCAAGTGAGCAGAGTGGGCAGCGCGTCAGTCCTGCCTCCTGAGCCCACGCTTGTTTGCTGAGTGTCTCTGGAAGGATCCAGAAGACCCTGGGACCGGGAGAGGGCAACACGGGACCAGGAACTGGGGGTGGGAGAGAGACTTTCTCTTCTACTCTTTGCTGATTTTGTACTCTTTTTGTTTTCTTCTTCTTCTTTTAGAATACTCTCTCTCTCTCTCTCTCTCTATATATATATNGGTGAGGCTGGCAGGGCAGCGGGGGAGACAGAACCCAGGGGGCCCCTCAGTGGGCTTCCTGGCTGTGGGACCAAGGCAGGAGAGCCAGCAAGGGGGTGGAGCCAGTAGGCCTGCTTCCACGGACAAAGGGAAGGGCAAGTGCCCCTGGGCACTTCTGCCTGGAACGTGAGTGCCCCCACAAATGGTAGTCATTGCTGACCTTGTCATCTGGAGCAGCATATGCAGCCATGAAATGAAAAGATGCTTGCTCCTTGGAAGGAAAGCTATGGCAAACCTAGATGATGTGTTAAAAAGCAGAGATATCACTTTGCCAACAGAGGTCTGTGTAGTCAAAGCTATGGTTTTTCCAGTAGTCATGTGAGAGCTAGACCATAAAGAAGGCTGAGCACCAAAAAATTGATGCTTTTGAATTGAGAGGCTGGAGAAGACTCTTGAGAGTCGTTTGGACTGCAAGGAGATCAAACCAGTCCATCCTAAAGGAAATCAACCCTGAATATTCATCTGAAGGACTGATGCTGAAGCTGAAGCTCCAATACTTTGGCCACCTGATATGAAGAGACGACTCATTGGAAAAGATCCTGATGCTGGGAAAGATGGAAGGTAAAAGGAGAAGGGGGCAGCAGAAGATGAGATGGTTAGATCGCATCACCAACTCAATGGACATGAATTTGAGCAAACTCTGGGAGATAGTGGAGGAGCCTGGCATGCTGTAGTCCATGGGGTCACAAGGGTCGGACATAACTTAGTGACCGAACAACAAAAGTGGCTCTTATGGCAAAGTTGGGCTTTGCTAATTTATAGAGAAATCTTAACAACTGAGTATTTCAAAAGCTGTCAGTTCTGTTTAAGTATAAAATATCATGGGCTTCCCTGGTGGCTCAGATGGTAAGTGGAAAAGTCCTAAAGTAGTTCTTCCTTTCTCTGTGGCTTCATTTTATCAGTTCTTTTAAACAATCAAAAATCAATTATCAGTGATGCAGTCCCAGTCTGCTAGTTCCATCCTGATATCAGATTCTTTAAATTAATGGATTATTTACAGACTAATGGCGGTCTAACTACCTATCCCACACCTACTTACTTACCTACCTATTAATTTTCTAACTTTCTATCTGATTTAATGTAAATTCTCATGTGAGCGATTATGTGCAAATCAGATGTTCCAACTGTGACTTGAAAGAGTTAAAACAAATTCCTCAAAGTAGAATGCAGGTGGTGAACTGGGAAAAAGAAAAAGGTGTAGTCAAAGAAAAACTTTCCTGACAACATATTGATCAGGCCTTTTTGTGGATTCTGAGAAGCACAACCATCAGCCATGAAATGATCCCCCAGTGGGGCCTACACCAGGCAACAAGGTCTTATTTTTCTCTGCATGCAGACTGGACTTAAGAGGTCTCTATTCATGGCTCAAATTTAAAACTGCATCACCCTTATGAAGACCTGTCGCCTCCAAAGGCCCTGCCCTTCGTAGGAGAAGCCGAATCAAACACGGCTTCTGCCAGGCATTTTTGTTTCTTGGACTGGAACTCAGAGTGTGCTTCCTGAGCCCATGGCCTGAAGGGGCTGGGCCCTGAAGGTTCCCTTTCAACAGCGAAACCCCCTCCATTTCCTTCTCTGAACATCCGACCCTCAACCATCCAGCAAGCTCACCTACCCAGAGCTAGGCTGGGCTCTAGGCGGTAAACCGAAACCAGCCACAGAACCTGCCTAATGGTCACGGATTCCTTCTATTATATTTGACTGGGGAACTAACACAAAACCCCCTCGGTCAATATAAAAATCCTGCCCAGCATTTTTTTATTTTGGCTGGCCAAAAAATTCATTGTTATTTTACTAACACTTTGCAGGTTATTACAGTCAATAGTTACACCTGACATGCCTGTGAGGTCTTCCCTAGTCATGTGAGCTTTGCTTTCACTTTCCATATCAGAGTCAGTCGCTAAGGTTTTTGTCTTTTTGTTAAGGTCTAGTATTCACATCGTCTGCATCGGAATTATATTCTCAAGAACTAGCATCTTCTGACACGCTAAGGTAAGTGTCACTCAGACATCAGAGAAAGTATCTACATAAAACTCCCTGAAAAAATTCTTCTTCACTCACAATTTTGTAATGTGTCACTTTTGAAAATTCTATGGTAATAAACTTGTGTTTATAATATACACAAGGTTGGAACAAAGGTCTAAGGGAACAAAATGTGAATGATAACAACAACCATAAGTTGTATAAGGAGCCTTAAATTTTAAGCTCTAACAGCTTTGCACAGTGATGTTAATTGCATCACTCTTTAAAAACATATTGATAAGTCTCCAGTCAATAATGTTTGAGTAATAAAGATGTATTAATGTCTCCAGGCAATAATGTGTTAAACTCTTATCTTTAGATCAGTTAAGTCCTCCTTGGACCATCACTCGGTGCTTACCTGGGCTCCTCTAAAGCTCATTATTTGTTGTGAAATGTATTACTGTTTATAGTTAAAGCTATCAGAGCACCCATGAATCCTCACAGATAAGCAGAAATTTTCTTGGGCTTCAACTTTTCTACCTGAGCCCCTTCTGGATCATACTTGTCCAGACAGAACCATCTGCCTAAATTTTGAGCCGCCTGGTTCATTGCTTTAATCTACAATGTTCCCACCTATGTAGGTATCCACAGACAATATATTTTCAATATGGAAAATCTGAATAGCAAGCATGAAGCCAGCTGTTTTAAGGTAAAGACATCATTGCATCTTCTAGGGAAAAGCCTTCAGGAGAAGAGAGTTCGCAGACTTGCTGGGCCATCACTTCCCTAAAAGTTGATGGGATGTGATTCTGGGGAACAACAGCCTCTGCAAACAAGGGGCTGGCCACAGTCAGGGTGTCAGGCAGGGCCGGCAGACAGCAGGACAGTCAGGGGAGCGGGTTGTGCCAGATTTTCTGTTCCTGACTCACCGTGTCCACCTGCAGACCTCAGGGCTGGGTTCCAGCAGGGCGCTTCTCTGTGCTGAAATAAGGGTCCCGAGCTGCCCCAGCTTTAGGGCGGGAGAGGATGGGGAGGACAGTGGGGACCTTGCCAACAAAGCAACAAGAAGATACTTGAATCTGCCCCAGGGTACCACTGGGGCACGCAGACCTTAGTACAAAATGCAGAAAAGCTGCCCGAGACTCAAGATGCTTGGCCTCCACCGGCCAGAAAGCGCCATAATGAACCAATTTGATAGAAGAAGGTATTGCGCTCCTTTCCGAGTATTAAGATGATATGTAATCTTGCATGTTCTCAGATGAGCCCCTGTTGAGCCATGGCTCCCTGGTTGGCACACAATTCTAATCACGGTGGTGCTTTGGCTCACAGTAGGAGATGAGCCGGTGGGGGGTGGTTGCTAAGGGGTGGCGGGGCGGAGTGAGGTGGCGGGGCGGTGGGGGGTGGGAAGACCAGCGCAGCCGCCAGACTCCATCCGTGGAATTGCAAGGGACGAGGGAGAAAACCATAAACATCACACACAGGCTCAGAGAGCATTGCTGTTGGAACCTTGACAGCCCAAGACAGGGAAACGCATCTAGAGAATGCATTTTAGAACAATCTATTTCCAGGCAGATAAATTCTGGTGTCAAAGCTGAAGCAGTTCTCTTAGAAAGATCTTCTCTAAGGTTTGAGTCTCAGCTCCGTGCACTTTCCTGCCTCTGAAACCAGACTGAAGCTGGCCAATTAACCAAAGAGACATTTCTAGGCAAAACAGGCTTCCTTGAAGCCATGGCCACATTTTACTGTTTTGGGAGGTGATATTTTCTCCTCTTAAATGTTAGACTATTGTACAACAGACTCTCTTAGAAATACAGTAACAAGCTTATGTTGATATTTCTGGGTCATCAAAATAATTATAAGCTTCTAAACTCACCTACAGTGACTTCCGATCTTAGGTCCTCTTAAAAATCTGATGCTATCTGCCACTACCCTGAGTTGCCCAGACTGCCCTCCATCCATTACCACCTTTTAAAAGCGCGTATGTCCATATTTTATCCATAGTTGACCTGTCTGACCTTCCTGCCTCACCTGTGGGCCCACCTGCCGCAAACTCCGTC